AAAGAATAATTGCATGTTTGTGGGAAAGAGAAATTGTTTTTGAGACTGAAGACATAATAAGGCAAGTAATTTAAAATGGTGTTTAAACATATCGTTGAGAAACCGCATCAGGATATTGAATCAATTATGTCAGCTATGTTGTGCTTTTATGAGAACAGTTTGTTCTCAGAAGATGTCATGGAACAAGATATGCGGCAAAACGTACCTGAGGAAAACATGGATGAGAATCCGAATAAGAACTTCACTAGACATAAAGAAAAAACTGGATGAGAATTTGAAAATTAAGAAGGAAATAAATCCTAAAGAGCAATTGGAAAAATTTCTTTTTGTTGGAGTCACAAGAGAGATTGTTTAAAGTACTGAAGAAAGTTCCAACAAAGGTCAACTACCATCTGAATGGATTACAGAGAAAGATTGTTTTGGAGAGAAGAAAAAAAGAATATAAAATTGGTTTATTCGACCATGGATAAAATGGGGCATGTTGTTATTCTGGCTGGTTCTTTTTGGATTTGCAGATATGTTAATTGGAATAAAAAGTGATATACTGGATTTGTTTATACGTAATAAGGTGTTTAAGTTCTTTCCTTTATTGTTGTTTTATGTATCTTAATTTCATAGTACTCAAATTGGTGTTGCATTTAATTGTCTTTGTACTTAAAGTAAGGAAGTTTGATCTTGTTTTCTTTGAAGGAGAAACCATTTCTCTCTCTTCTGCTAAATTTCAGTCTTTATGTGGATTTGCTTATAGTTTAGAGTTGAGATATGGAATGTTTATCAGAATGGGATAAGTTGTTATTTAGAGTAAAAATGTTGTGTATTGGAACTTGTCTTTTGTAAAGAAGAAATGGTCTCTTTTTGTTAAACCTTTCTTTTACTTTGTTTATATTGGGATACTGGGACCATTTTATACTTTTTAAATGGGATTTTGTTTCAGCTAAGGCTGGAGATGAGGAATGTTAAATTTTATATATGTTAACTAATATTAATATTTTAGAGCTCTGTTTGGACTTTTTGTTAAGAATGGGATGGGAGAAGAGGTTACTTATTTGATTTGTTTATTGTTAAGAGATAGGTTATGGGATGGAGAGTTGTGGGCTTAGTCCTCCCTATTCACTACATGAATCTCCCCATCTAGTGTTTCAATAGATGACCTTGAATTGTAATAGTGTGAGACAAATTTCTGTATGTCCACATTTTCCATACCATATATAGTTTTATACACCTATATCTCTTCTTGGTAAGAAAAACAAACAAAAAAGATCTAAAGCATTTTAATAGTTCAATATGGAGAAGCAGCTCCAGTCATCTAATAATTTTGGTTATTCTTTTCTGTACCTTTTTCAGGTATATAAACACATTTTACATTGAAGTGCCAAAATTACACATTTCATTCCAATTGTACTTTCATAACAGACTTATATGAGGTTATTAGTTTACTGGACTTTTATTTTGCACCCCTTCCCTAATGAGTGTTTCCATGGAATTGGTCTTGACACTAGTCACACCAAAGATTGATATTGTCATCAAATTATCTACCATTTTTGAATTTTTTTCCCAGAATAGTTATTATTAGCCATTTGTTTATACAGTATGTGATTTATTGCAGCTCTGACATGCACTGCTTTTTCATTGTCACAAACTGAATAGCTTAAAGCTCATTTGCTCAGTTTGAGAACAACTCCGTGAAGATTTCTCCAGCCTTTTTTTAATTATTATGCCATTCTGAATAATTTTATAGGTCATCTCCAACTCTAGATCATTTATAAACTCATTCTGTACCAATACAGTGGTGAGCTTCTGTGATTAAGGGCGGATTTCTTTGGTTTAGTCCAACACCTTAACCACTATATTACACTAACCCTTAAGGTAATAGTATTTGCCTTAGTTCTTTAATTTTCCCACCTAAAAAAAACTAGTTCATGCTCACTAGGGAAATCATGTGTATCATATTAATTTAGTTTTTCTGTAATTTCTTCATTTTTAACATACCTTTGATAACCCTGTCGCCCAATGGTTCATGGTTCAACTGTTTTCTTCTCAGATTTTCGAGTTCAAAAATATTTAAATATTTTCTGCATACATTTCTCTTTCCAATACATGTGCTTCTTGGTTCTTTCCATTTGGGCAAGACTAATAGCTTCTCTGACCTTGTTTGTTAACTACACTGGCATTCTCTTGAATTTGGCTGCACACCTGGTGCTGAACTGATTCAGGGGTCTTCCTTCCCATTGAAAGTAATGAGAGAGGCCATTTAAAAAAGACTGCAAAAGAAAATAAGTACGTGCCATCCGGATTTCGAAAATGACAGAAAACCTGCTAGTTTATTCTCTCTGCCCCCCCCCCCACTAAGCACCAATCAAATGCCTGCCCAGCTTACAAGTTCTGTACCCTCTTACAGTTGCTCTTTCATTAATTACTGCACTTGAATGAAATCAAGATTGCTTTTATTGTGTTAAGGTTGCTTTTCTATTTAATTTGTTACCTGTTAGCATTCAGCTTTACAGGAGCATTGACATGCTGTTATGGAGAAAATTGAACAAAATACACAGATCTTTTCTGTTTTTTTTTCTTTTCTTTCAGAAACATCTTCAAACACCAGATATTGTTATTGGAGCAGACACTATAGTGGTGAGTATATATGCTGACAACTGTTTGGTAATGGTTGTGTAAGGTCTATAGTATTAGTCGATCAGTACACATAATAGAAATTAAATACGTCAGGTTCTTTTGTCTATCCAATATTGGTGTATTTTTTAATTCTATTATAACAGGGTTATTCTAGTATGGGAAATGGCTAGTCATTATTATATAAACACACTCTGAGAATGAAAAGAGTTATAAGTGTGGTAAGATAACTGAAGTGATTTTGAAAACCAGTTTAGACAAATTTAGAAATAATACTTCTCAATGGGTCCTGAATGAAAAATGCATGAATAAAATGATGGAAGAAAGGCCAAGCAGTGTAGTTTCCTATTAGGTCAAGAAATAAATTTTTTTGTGAGTGGTTAAACTTGACAATCTTTTCCCAGTGTGGTTTCTCACTTTCCTTAGAAACAGGCAGTTTTTATGCCAGCGGACTTTTCTCTAAGAAAAAATGTTTACACTTCTGAACTTTTGTGTCATTCATTTGTGTTGAAATGTATTGTTGTTAAAAACCAGAGGATTATATGAAACATACACCAACAGATATTATGAGAGCTAGCAACCATGTGGATGTGCTGGCCCCCTTTGGTTTCTTCATTAGGTTCTCATTCAGAAAAATCCACAAAGCTTTTTCAAAAGTTTTGCCTACACCTAGTAGCACTTTGCCCTAAGAGAGGCAGCCTTATCTAAAAGATAAAACGCATTTGTGTATGCAAAAGGCCAAGTCAGAATGGGGAAAACCTCTTTTTTTGCCACTGCTAATGAATGTGGACCAATAGTCTAACTTGGTGTAAGGCTAATTCCTATATCCTTAAATCACCATCCTTAATAGTATTTCTGTGGCTTTTCTTGGCATGCTTCATTTTATTCACTTTTATATTCTTTTATTTCTTGAGTATTTTTGTTTGGATCTCTCACATCCAGAGAGCAGATTTTGAATTAATAGTTTCTGTCAAGTATGGGATAAGGCATTATTCAGTTTATCAAAAACTATAAAATCAGGATACCTGTTAGGGATACCACAAAACTGAAGGAAAAAAAGATTTGTTCAACATTTAAATTATGTATCTGTGAGTCTTACTCTGTCTACAAAGGGAATTGTTTTGATACCACTTTGGGAGATACCTACCAACAATTAACTACTCAAAATACACATTGTTTATATCTTCTTTGTAGCCAAGTACTGGATACATAATTTATTTCAACATAAAATTAAGTATAGGGAGACTATCCTCAACTTTATTTATAATCTAATGGCTGCAATTTTCAAAACTCTCACTCCTGGTTACTTTGATAATACTTTCAGCCTAATGACATGTACATAGCAATATATGTATATTTCCATTTCAGAGTATAGAAGAACAAATTTTGGAGAAACCAGTGGACAAGCAGGATGCATATAAGATGCTTTCAAGGTTTATGCTTTAAAACTAACCTTTAATGCAAATAATACTGCTTTTATTCTAGGCCTGGCCATGTGCAGTGTATTATCTTTACACCAGCCCTTTATGGATATAAAAACAAACTCTTTCTGGTTCATACAATTATATTAGTATCAGAGGAATCCAAACAGTGTAAGATAGTACACTAGGGCCTGTTTTATAATCTCTTGTGCTGAAGATGTTTCTTAAGGGATATTTTTACTAATGAATTTCTATTTGTTTTTATACTTTTTAATTTTCATTCTGTATATGAATTTAATGTAATATTGGCAGAATTATATTGGATTTGAAAGGCTTTATGCTTTGTACCAATGTGCTAAATCACTTCTAAGAGTTGAACAGTTACAGCAAAAAAAAAAAAAAGATTCTCATCAGACAAAAAGCTACCATTATTTAGGCCACTGTTTCTCAATCTCAGCAATTTTAAGACGTCAACTCCTAGAATTCCCCAGCCAGCATGTTGAGGAATTGAAGTGCACACATTTTAAAGTTGCAAGATTGAGAAACACTAATTTAGGCTATCATTTAGCAATCTTTTCAAATAGCGTGTTGTACCATGTAGTTCTGCACAATGTCATGATATACAGTGCATTCGGAAAA